GAAACAATCAATTACATCTGTAGTCCTTTAATACTCTGTAAACTTTAGATTATTTTCATTTTTTTCATTCCCCATAGATCTTTGAAACTAGGAGAAAAAAAGTATGATGAAACAATTTTATAAGAGAGATCTCTAAGATACTGCATAGTAGCACTTCCTGAAATTTGCATTCACATGGCATTGCTACAATTGTCCTAGGACAGACAAGGAAACCAGGACTCAAGATGTATGAGATGACCCAATGGAAGTTTTTCAAATTTTTAAATGGAGTTTACTTTGGTAACTTCCAGAGTGTGTGCCATATTGAAGCTGACTGTATGTAATCTTGGTCTTGGGTTATTTTCCCCCTATAAATGGAAGAATTAAGTATAAGGTATGTGTTATTCTTTACAAGAGACTTCTTCCTGGTTGGAGTCATCCAGTAAGCAGAAGCCATAAGCAAGAGAAAACACTACATATTAAGAATCTTGACTCCAGGTGCTGGGAAAAAGGGACAAGTTAACAGTCTTCAAGATGGATAAAATGATGCCACCAACCTGCACTTTTTAGATTCCCAGGGATATTTTTTAATGGGCTTTTCATACATAAAGGAATTCTTGCCTCATCCTTATAGTATTATTAGGAACCTGACTCTCTTAGCCCAGTATTTGCTGGGCCTGAGGTGACACCCAACTGCTTACCTACATGCATACTAACATCAGAAACAAGAATCAGTTCTTCACCAGGCTGTAAGAAGATATACAATTGTACATATAGATGGGATGGGGCAGAAATTAGCTTAGCAGCTGAATCAACGCATGGTGTTTGTATAAGATACTAAAAACCGTTCAAAGAGATACAACTGCAAATAAATTTGGAGGCCAAATTTAAATGGGATTCACAATGGAGTGGCCAAGATGCTGGAGAAAAAGTAAAATCCTAATCTGGAATAAAGTCAAATTGAAGACTATAAAAGAAATAAAATGTCACACAGAGAAACAGGAGTAATAGGGCCCCAGGAGATAAGATAAAAATTTACTGAGCAATTTTATTGTTGTATTAATTGACTGTCAATGGCCTAGCAGCACATCAGCAACAGGGGTTTTGTAAAGGCAAACTGTAGGTTCTGACAGCAGTTTATATCACAACAAACCTCCTTCAAACCTGTGTGTTATAATACTTCAGCAATATCCTAAATCTCATGAGGTCTACCATTCTCCTTTGAACCGTACTAACCAAATTTTACCTTTGCACATGTAGTTTATCCACACCACACAGTCTAGTCAAGTAATCAGAGAGGCTAAAAGATCCTTCAGCAAAAATTTCCAAAATGGGCACGTAGGGACTTGGAGAAAAAGTATTTAAAGCAAAGGACTTGTTTGTACTCCTTGTTTAGAAAAACTAGGCAAGCATTTATTAATTTATTCAAGGATGTTTATTTAACCACTCACTATAAGCCAAGCATTGGAGATGCAAAGCTGAAGAAGATAGGATCTGGGCCTCAAGGGACTTACAGTGTGTGGGGGGTGGAGACAGGCATGTAAATTAGTAAGGATAATAAAATGTTACAGGTTCTATCACAGAAGTATGTCGATAGTAAAATAGTGACATAAAAAGAGAGAGTGATCAATTCTACAGGAGTAGGGGAATCGTAAAGTCTTTAGCGAAAAGGTGACCCTTTAAAAAATAAATGCAGCAAATCAGGATATTAATATCTATTACATAAAACAAAATCACATACATATAATTTGTTCTTCATTACAAAAGAGTGACATCTATTAAGGGATGGATAGGCTATAAATAAATTTGTGAAACTTCTCTTTTCAGGAATGTTCTACTAGCATCTCTGATAATTTAATATAATTTAGTTGTCATGCCAGCAATCAATAGAAAAATATATAACCTGCAATTGTTTCAGTTCATGAGTCAAATTAAGACAAAAGTTTTTTTCTGATATATTGTATTTGAAGGCCTTATTCATGACTTGGGTATATATATATATATATATATATATATATATATATATATGTGTGTGTGTGTGTGTGTGTGTGTGTGTGTGTGTGTATATATATAAATATGTCTGAACATTATTGGACATATAGATTTTTGTATGTGTGTGTGTGTGTGTGTGTGTGTGTGTGTGTGTGTGTGTGTGTGTGTGTGTATATAAATATGTCTGAACATTATTGGACATATAGACTTTGGGACATATAGATTTTTGTAGTTATCTGTTACTCTGAGAGGTTCTTCTTCCTGGACACTCACAGCCACCCACGTTTAAATCTTTTATAGGGTAGTCATTTTGAACAGAGTTACTTAGTAGCTTATGAACTGAAAAGGCAGAGCTGCAGTTATTAGAAGTGAAATTTCAGCTAGTGGTGTCCAATTAGGGTTGCAATCTTCAGATGTGTACAACACAAATACATGTGGAACACACAATGGTCTCTTCAGCCACTCATTCCTGCAGAGAGCAAAATTTTAAGAGCACCGTCTTGCAAAAGAAATCCACTTACAAACAAATTGGCTAAAGTCCACTTACAGATTAATTCATTTCTGGTCACGGGTCACTGTGATCAACAATGCTAAAAATTAATCTTTGTTAGGAAATCACTATGCACGTGAGCCTCCTGATCCCCCAATTTAGGAACATGAAGTACCTAGTTACCAGGTTAACACATCTCAAACCTCTGAGGGAAGTCTTTGAACTTCTCTACTAGAGAAAGATTTCTATTTCAAATTTTCCACAGTAATCTTTACATACTTCACATAGCCCCTCAGAAATCCCTGAGTGCCTTTAGGGGATCATTCCAACCTCTAGATAATGCTCAAGTTTCTCCTCTTACCAGTATAATCCCCACTGCATTCCCACCCTACTCATCTCTCAGGGAATTGTGTCAAAAAAGAATCCAGTCTTCATAAGGAGACACTTGCTTTGAAAGGATTATTGCAGTAGGCATAGGTGGACTACTGCAATAGGGAGAACACTTTGACCATGAGATTTACAAGAGTAATGTCAAGAGATAGGAAAAAAGATGTTTTTCTTTTATAGGAAAGTATAAACAAGTCTAGAAAGAATCTGATGTGGGAAAGTGGGATAAAAGGGTGGCATGATTGGAGAGCAGATCAGAGAACGTTTTACGCTGAAGCCAGCCTGTTCTCGGAAGGGCATATTAAGGATATGCTGTATGATAGCTAAACTTCAGGGACCTGCAGGAAGGAGAGAAGCTAAATCACAGTTTGGTTAACAAACATGTTGTTCCAGCTGATCAGCAGGGGCAAGTAGTTCAGCTAATCATTTGTGAGGTAAAGAATGGGAATTTGGAGAGATGTGTCTGAATTTGCCATAGGTAAACAAGTGCGGAATGCCTCTGTCTTATCTAAGTCACATGAAGAAGAGTCTTTGTTTTTTTGTTTGTTTGTTTGTTTTTTTTACTAAGCTGTTTCCAAAACACAAAAGGGTGAGGAGATTTTTAACGTTCGCTGTTTTTCAAGATCACAGGACTCAGGTAAAGTTCAGTGCTCTCCGCTGGCATGAGTCAAAGACAAATTGACATTAGATGACACTAAGGAAATAAAGCTTTCAGTATGATGTTGAGTAAAACATTCAACCTATCAAGTGGCTTGTATGATGTGCGTTTCTTAGATATGCCTAATCTAGGTCATGGAATGTTAAGGATTCAAGATAGATCAGAATTCCATATGCAGATCTGGGGCTAAATCATAAAAGTGTATATTTTCCAGTCTTTCTGTACTTCTCCCTTGTAGCACAGAAGACAGGGAAGATCTTCTGTGACCTCTCCCTGGGTAATTTATGGGGATATCTAAGTCTTTATCCATTAGATGCTTTAGGTTCTCAGTCATCTCTTTTTACTTTGGAGATACATCTGACATGAATCAAGCAGAAAAGAAAGAATTTAATGGTGTTAGGATTATGGTGTTAAGAATCAAAATGTCCTAAATTACCAGACTAAAGCATTCCATTAAAAGAAAAATCAAATTGTTTTCCTATATGAATATTACTGAAAAATGTAAATAGCTTGCTGCAGCTGGAATATCTGCCTCTGGATCAGGAAAAGGAGCACAAAGATCTATGTCTTTCCCTTGTTTTTTCCTCAAAGTCCAGGAGAGCAGACAGGTGAACAGAAAGATACTGCAGATTGCCCCTAGGCTAGGCTTCCAACACAGATATACCTGTAGAGGAAAATATCCCTTCTAAAAACAATATATAGTAAAAATAATGTTAATTTACACACCATGGTTCAATAAGAGATATTCAAAAGTATTTTACTCCCTTGCCTCACCCAAAATAAATTCTATTATTTGCAGAATTCAGAATTAATAGGTTAATGAAAGAGAATACAATAAGGCAACACAGGTTTTAAGGACATGAATGAAATTCACTTAAGAACTGTCTCCAATTATAATAGCTTGGGAATTAAGCTATTACCATACTGTCTGAAACATAAGAAATACAATATTTGTTGTGCCCATTACCAAAATCTGTGTGGAAATCAAGTTCAAGCCCCATAATAGCTAAATTCAACTTTCTATAAGGAAAATAACACAAAAAATGAACACAGAAATGATAGAAATAAAACTTCTAAGCTGGAAACTGACTTTACTACTGCTAAATCATATGAATAATTTCTAATTGATTTGTATTTGGCAGAAATCTTATATATCAGAATCATGTTCATCTATTTATCACAATATTCTATATGTCACATGGAAACTAATACATTGCTTTGTTAATATTTATAGTTTTCTTTCTAGTATGGCTCAGAGATATTTAACATTCTAAAACATAAGCATTTATAATTACATGGTTTACATTTTGTATTCTAATTTTTAATACTGCCAAGACTATTTAGCATAACTAACTTTTTAACTATGTACTCTTTTCTCTCTTTACCATTAGCATATCAATCAAATTTGCATTATTCTGCTTTGCTCATTTTATTAAAAGCGAACTCAGGGCACAATTGACTTTTCATTTGTTTAACAAGTGAAGAAATATTTACCCTGACAGCCATTGCATTGTAGAAATTCATCTTCATAGTATAATATGCTACCTGTGAATCAAGAAAAAAAAAAGATGGCATACATTTCAGTTATACAAAGACAGTGCGGCCTATTTTTACATATAAAAGATAAGGATCTTTATACATAATACATAATAAGAGTTCTAGGCTTAGAAAAATGAAATCAAACTTTGTATTGAAGAGCTAGGCTTCCTAATACATAATGCAAGCTTAACCTGAAAAATCTATGGTAGTCAAACTTGGAGCTAATGGAGATATATGATCATAAAATGCTCTCCGCTGAGTTTGATAATCAATGGTGCTCTACTGAGAATAGAATAACAAAGCAGAAATATTCACAAGTGCTGGTGACACGTAGTATTGTATGATTTATTCACTAGGGTTCTTTTAGCCAAAACTCACAGAAACATAAAAGGAATTCATATTTCAAGACGTCTAGTTTAATGAAAAATTCAAAGAAATGCTTTCTTCAGTTGAAATCGTTCAAGGATATGGATGCAGTGATGGAGTAAAATTGTGTCTTCCAACCATCTATGCAAAATGTTATGTACTTAGCTGCCTCCTGAGTAATCCTTGGGAATTCTGTTTCATTTAATATTCATTTTAACACCATAAAATCATAAATACAATGATATCATGTTACAGCAAATCTCTTGCTACAGTGAAGGCTTCCTAATGTCTTGGTTTCTTTCTAGTAAAGACACATTCATCTATTAATATACAAATCTCTGGTACAGTAAATAATCATTTAGCAACATAGCTTATTTCAATGAAAATATTGCTTTAAATAATGCTTCCACATCTGTTCTTTTAATTAAAGATATAAAATTAACATAATTTATGACAATACAGTAACAGTAAAAGCAATGAAATACATATTTTTCAACATGATATACAACTTTATCCATTTTTATTCAATCAAAACTCATGCAACAAATATAATGTGAGCCCATTGCTTTAAATAATGCTTCCACATCTGTTCTTTTAATTAAAGATATAAAATTAACATAATTCATGACAATACAGTAACAGTAAAAGCAATGAAATACATATTTTTCAACATGATATACAACTTATCCATTTTTATTCAATCAAAACTCATTCAACAAATATAATGTGAGCCCAGGCTATAGATATTATGTTTCAGGCAAAAAACAGAGAAAAGTGCCTTTAACGTTTATGGAGGAGTTTTCTTCTGTGTGACAAACAGAAATTCAGATATGAGAGTTTCACTGTAATTAGTGTTGTTTGAATTGCCTGGTCTGATACAAAGCAAATTGTCTGTGGAGAGCAGCAAGGCTGGATTACTTATCAACAGTCTGCGCAATTAAGAAACAGTTGGCTGCAATGTTGTTTACAAATGAACACAATGATGTTACTTCATTTTAAATTCTCTTTGTTATAGCAAGCAGGCATAAGTCTTGGAGTTTGAGGTGATTTAAAATATTTACTTTAAATAACATATTTCTTCAAATCACAATAAAACAGATATTGACATTAAATATTTTTGTAAAGAAGAAATATATTGGAAATTATATATTCCAAATAGTTCTAGTACAGAAAAAGATGGTTATCTTCATTGTTTAGTTAATAGTGGAGAGTGTGTGTGAACTTTGAACTTGAGTTCAATTCCTGACTTCACTTTTACCATCTGTATGGCCTTGAACAAGTTACTTAATGTCTCAGTCTTGATTTCCATCCTTACAAAACAGGGCATTACATGCTTCATTGAGTTGCTGTGAAGATTAAAATGAGATAAAGTATTTAAGGTGCTTGGGACATAGTCCATAGTTATTATGAGAGGGATTATCAATAGTGCTAATCATTATACATTTTGTGGCTAAAGATACGTAATTTAACTCTATATATGTAAAATTCCAAAAAGTATAAAGGGCTAAATTTTCTTATGAAGTAATGAAAAAGACAGATACAGCTTTTGAGATTAAGAATTCTGAATT